CCCTAAATAAAAAACCAAACCAATTTTAAATGAAATGAACAAGAGATGATCAGACATTGCATGCATCTATCTAAACCTGCAACCATTTACTTAACCTCTCATGCTAAATCCTTTCTAAACAAACCTTAGATGCTGTAGATCAGCCTGTTCTGTGAAAGCAATAAACCACCTCATAAAAAGGCCAATTTGTATAGCTGTTTATGCAGACAATTTGTTCAGATCAATTGATTCCATGTGAAAAACATTTGTTTGTCTCTTAATGTAGTACACAAACTCTAATTTCAGCAAGTGTGCTATCTTCTATTTTAAAAATATTTTATATACTTATATATAATATGTAGTGTAGAATGTATTTATGTGTTTTATATATAATATATTTGTACTTGAGAGACAGCAAGAGAGAAGGATGGAGCTGCAGCCACACAGGTCACAGCAGTCTATATGAAGACTACAGTTCAGTGAGACCAAAATTGCAGTAAGTATGCATAATTTGTGTTTGAAAAGCAATTACACATTAAGATTTTATTGGCATGACTTAAACCTAAATCTTGCTGTTCCTAATCAAGTGGTCCTACACAGGAACTAACCCATTTTAGTAAGTTTATTGAGAACATAAAAGTAGCAAAATAATATAAATGCAGCATTTTTAACAGTTTTGAGATTCAGAAAAAAGGAAATTATTCTATACCTTCCAAAATGTGGATTTAATATAGGATTTCTGAAGAGAGAAGTCCAGGTAAGACTGCTGAGGCCAAATGGCCCTAAAGTTGAAGGACTGAAAGCTGGGGACATGGATGGCACAGCCAATGTTGAAAGAGGCATTGACCTCCACGTGTGATCTAGGAGGGGAGAATGACTCAGTGGAACATCCAAAAATAGACCAAGTGGGTGTGTTAAGGAGATTCCCGGAACAGTCCCCAGAATTTCATTTTTTTCACGTTTCCTCCACTTTGCCCTTCTGTTTTGGAACCAGACCTTCAATAAGAAATTAGAAAGGCATTAGCTCAACTTACTCTGTAATTTGTCTTACCAGATACTACAGCACGTATTGATATGGATGGCAAAATAATTACTGTTAAACCAAACCCCACTTCTTTAATATAAAAGATCTTTTCATAAATGCCTTAGTGAGTTTATTACAAAATAAATCACTTTTAAATATTGTAAATTCGACTACTCTCTGACTGAAGAGTCACATATGTCTTAAAGCCATTGTAATATATTAACCTGTCACCTGAAATGCAAAAGCAATTATTGAAAATGATTATTCTTCCTTTCATAACCTATTAATTGAAAGTTAAATTTCAACAAAGCCATTCAAGAGGTAGCAATTACAATACAGTACAAAAATTGTTTTCTAAGAGTTTTAAATAGCATCAACAGTATTTAAAAATCAGGTTTTGGGGGACCCAGCTTGCTTTACCTCAGCCATGCCCTATGACCATTTCCAGAATTGTAACTTACTTTCAGGTGCTTAAAAGGCATGAAGTGTGTTTGGGAGAAAATCCCTCCACACACTGGGGCGCTGATCCCCAAACAAGGCTGCAGCACACCCCAGCCTTGCTGTCCCGAGCCTGATGCTGTTTCTCTCTGTTAAGAACAACTGACTCTTTCAAAGAATTTGCTCTGGGGTTCTCAGGATCCAGCTGAAGAAGTCCTACGTTAGTCCTTTCATTGCACGCAGTACATTTACAATGGAAAGTTGCTGTTCTCCTGGAAGAGGGATTTCTGCCCCTCGGGTTCCGTGTGTTACACAGAACTGTCTCACTCACAGGCAGTCAGCAGAGGGAGGTGCACTCAGCGGAAAATCAGAACATCAAAATTTTGAATTTGGTCCTTGAAATTCTCGAGTGTTAAGACTCATTCTTTGGTCTTTCCTCCAGCAACCATCAGCTTTCAATAGTCAGATGTCTTACAAAGGAATATCTGGGTCTGTGAAATGCCAGGCAGCTATACCTGCATGGCAGTGAGGACTAGATACTCCATCAGTATTAGTCCAAGATAGGGGTTTGATAAGGAAAACTACATTACTGGAATCAGATGATTTAAAGTCACTGTTAACCAGTAATCTTAAATATTTGTAAGTGGAGCTTAGCTAATATCTCACAGGAGAAGACCACCACCTCAAATGTGTTAGTGTTTTCTATGAAAAAAATCCAGCTGAAAAGGCAATAACTGTCTCACAGTGCAGATATGCAGATACTGCCTTTCCTAAAAAGGATAAATGCTGCAAGGGTGTTCATGTCTTTACTAAATCTTAGCACTGTTCTTCAATCTGTTCTTCATGGAAGTCTAACACAATATCAAATATCTGCTTTTCTGCTTTCTCTGTCCTAAAGCAAATCAATGTGATCACTCAGACATGCACTTTGACTACAAAATAATTTTTTTGATGTTACAGGTAATTTTGAGCTTAACTCCAAAATTAAATAATCTCTCAGATTTTGTATTTCTCAAACTGTAAGGAAATATCAGCATAGGTATCTAATAATTACTGTTACAAAAAAACTAGCTTTCCTTTCCTATTGGTACAAACTCATAGCTCAAGTGATAACAGGAGTAGACCAATGCCTCATACCTTAGACTGACATGACAAACAGCTTTCAAAGTTTACTGCACACATTACAGTCATTAACATTCAGATGAATCATCTTGAATCTTTTGTTAAGCAGTTTTCCTTTGCTTCCAATAAAAGGCTTAACTTGTCTTTATTCTATTTTCAGCCACATCTGAACTGACAAATTAACCATAACAGAAACTGCTACAACAGTCTTAAGATTTTTATGACTGTAATATCAATGGCAAAATACTCTAGAAAAAAAGTATTACTTAATACTCAAAAATGAGTTTCAAACCATCAAGTTTTGAATTGCCTGCTAAATATTACCAAGATTATATTTGCAATTACTAGCATCATGCATATCTGACAAGAGATTCAGGTCTTTTACAAAGGAAAATGTGAGCATGTAAAATTTGATTGCTTTCTTGCTGTAATTTTCTTTAAAAATGTATCCTATTTAATTGATGTAATACCTAATGATGCTAAAAAGATGGATGTGCATAACTGTATTGTGTTTCTATTGTAAATGAATAAGAGGGTTGTAATGAGAAAATATGACAAGGAACAGTTATATTTGTAAGCCAGTGTTTTAAAACTGATGCAATTTATGGCAATGAAATACCCATGAAACCTTTTACCCCTCACGTTAACAAGATAAAAGATTCCTTTAACTTTTTCTTGTTTTCTTCCCATCCTAACAATATGAATAATGAGAAACATGAATGGCAACAACAGATGCAAATGCTATTGAAGAGCAATCCCAACACGGTTCCAGGTTATGAAAAGGTTTTGCAGACTCTCTGACTACCTCTTTCCCAAGGTAAGGAATGCACCATCTCCCTTATTCTATAAAAGTAAGTAAGGAGGGTGTTGGGTAAGGGGGATCTCTTTGAAATGATGATGGAATTAACATATATGCATGCCATTTTTTTTCTTATTTGTTCATTCTTATATAAGACTCAAAAGGCAAGTGGAGGGACAATGCTGTGGCTGGTACCCACTTCAGCTGGTTGACAGAGGGTTCTCCCCAGAGAAGCAAACCTCCAATTGTAAAATACATTGAGGTGAAGAAATGGTCTGACTGCACTGGGTAAGATTAATTTCTTGAGTTTACACTTCAGTAAGTAAAGAGATGCCACTTTCCATGTCAGCTGATTGAGCCAGATACCATGGGAGAGGATTGGAAGGCTTAATTTCACACAGGATGTCTTATATTGCAACTAAGAGCATGGGCATATGTGGCAAGTATTTGGTAATTACAGTAGTTTAAGAACAGTACATCACTGTTACTCCTTCACATCCTCTTCCCTCCAGGCTGAGCCCAGTTTCCCACAGGATAGGAACTGGGGCTTGGCTCTGTGCACTGCAAGCTCACACTAAACAACTGTGCTGACTCCATGCTCCATGCTCAGGAGACTTGTGTTAAGATCTAACATATGAAGGAGGCCAAGAAGTACCAGAAACAGCTCTTTGCTGTTTCTTCCATCCACTGGGGATGCATCAACTATGTTTTTCCTTGTTAATTCCTTTTTGGCTCCATCAAACACAAACGTTTCCATTTGTTTTTTTAGATGAATCATTAGGAGATGAGTTCCTCTTTGCCATGTACCATTGCACCATTCCTTCACAGGGTGTGCAGAATATGCACCCCACAAAGGGAATTTGACAGTAACAGTTAAAGTAACAGCTTTTCACACGTCTTTTTCATTGTTAGATGCCATGTGCCATTGTTAGAGACTGGGACATGACAGTGACTAGAGGTTTTAGTCATTGTTGGTGTTAGGAAGAGTGGAGGGTACATAATTTCCCCCAAGTCCACAAAAGAGAGCTGAAAAGCTCATCTAGGTATTCTTTGAGTCAATTATAAAGTACCATTCATACTTCTAATGCCTGTTTTTGAAGATGGTGCATATTAAAATCAAAAGCTAAAAGAGTTACAGTTTTACAGACTGTAACTGTGGTGTGAACCATCGCAGATCCAGTGACTGGAGTAATGACAAAGTATACAAACAATGATCTGTCATTAACAGTATCAAAACTATGCAGTAGTAAGCAGAACTGTCACACTGAGCAGCTGCACCAGTTCTCAGTCTTTCACATGTAGGCACATACCCAGAGTTGTGCTGGAACAGTCAATATCTGATCTACAGCACAAGCCAAATTTAGTACAATTGTCATTTGCAGCTTATAAATACTTGAAAGCCTTCACAACTTTTGAAACAACTTTTTTTTTTCTTTTTTTAAGGCTATAATTTTTGTATAAAAAGGAGATTTCTAGGTTATCAAGACATTAATCTAAAGAAAAGGATTTAAAAGAGATATTGTTAAGCAGGAGTGCACAGAGTCAGGAAAAGTTACTAGGGGTCGTTTGTAGTTTAAGCAAACTGCAGCCTTCAAGTATGCTGAAGTTCTATAGGCATTGCTGCAATCACAGCCCAGCTGGGCAAAAAAATTCTCCTGGACAGGACCTGGCTGTCATATATGAGGTCAAATTAATATTTCATTTTTTTTAACCAGTCATTTAGAAGTGTGACTGTTTTATTGAGCTAAGTTAGACCAAGAGAGGGATGTTAACTCTGCAGCCTCAGTAAATAACTTTGGATGCCCCACAGAACCCTTCATTTTTTGTAAACAACCTAATTTATTCTTTTTAAATCCTGTTTTGAAACTCAGGAGACAGTACTTGCCTTTCGACCCATGCAGGCGGCAGCGCAAGCGGGAGTGAAGGGCAAGCTGGGGATGTCCCTGAGCCGCCGCTTCCCCCTCGGAGGTACCGCGTCCCTTGCTCCGTCCCTTCAGCACCACCCGCCGCGGACAGGACGCGTGCCCGGCACCGCCGCCGTTCCCTTCTCGCCCGGCGGAACAAAAGGGAAAACCCGCTGTGTTCAACCCTCTCTCGCCCCTCGTCCCCTCCGGCACTCACCTGCACCCGGGCTTCCGTCAGGTCAAGGCGTAGGGCCAGCTCCTCTCTGCGGGAGGAACACACGGTTAGAGCCGGAGCTCGCCCGCCGGCCCGGCCCGGCCCCGCCCGCCCCTCCCGCCGCTACCTGGTGAACACGTCGGGGTAGTGGGACTTGCAGAAGGCGCGCTCCAGCTCCTCCAGCTGGAACGTGCTGAACGTGGTGCGGTACCGCCGCTGCTTCCTCTTCACCGGTCCTGGCGCCTCGGAGCCGGGCGGGCGCTCCTGGCGCTCCTCCGCCGGCGGCTCCTCTGCGGGGCTGCGCGCTCGGCCGGGCCGCGGCGTCTCCGCGCGTTCCGCGCCTGCGGGAGACAACCGCGGAGTTACCGGGGCGGGCGGGCATGGAGCGACCCCGCTGCCCCTCACCGGGCCGCCTCTCACCGTGACACCCTCCCCGCCGCCCCTCACCGTGCCGGCCCGCGGCGGGGCCCCGGCCCAGGATGCTGTCGATGAAGTAGGAGGTGAGGAGGTGCAGGGCCGGCGGGGCGGCGGGGGCCGCGCTCTGCATGGCTGCGGGCAGGGCCCCCGCGCCGCGCCGCGTTTTATCGGCGCGGGCAGCGCCCGGCTCGGCGCCCCGGCATTAGCATTTCATTAACGCGTGGCGTCAAGGCCGGGGGTGGGACGCGCTGGCCCCCGCTCGCCGCGCAGGAGCCGGGACACCTCCCCCGGGCGGGCACAGAGCCGCCCCATCGGGGCTGTCCGACGGCCGCTCGCTGCCCTGGGGCCGTACGGGGCTGTCCGACGGCCGCTCGCTGCCCTGGGGCCGTAGCCCCCGCTCGCTCCGCTCCCGCAGGCCGGCGGTAACTTTTCCAAGCCTCGCTGGCAGGCGCGGGGCGGCTGCCGTGAAGTTGTGCCGGTGCCCGGAGCGGTGCGAGAGAGCCGTGCCCGGCTCCTCGAGACCTGCGGTTGGGTCCGCAGTGGTGGCCGAGAGACCCCGGCTGAGACTCGGGAATGAGGGAGAAGAGTCACTAGTGTTTATCTTTATTGCCCTTGATGACCTTACACTTGTTGAATTCAGCTTTTTTAGGCTGACCTTGCAAAGTACCGTGTTCCAGCAGGTGAAGGGAAAGTGCACAAACCCATGCAAGACTGAGTTCTTTTCCCTGGAGATCTCTAATTCCATTCCTGCTGTAATTCTGTTGTCAGCCCTGTTGCAGCAATGGTTCCTCAACAGGAGGCCTGGAAACGATTTCCTGCACAGGGAGACTTCCAGCAGTTATGTGATCTTACTGTGGTGTACTGGTAGAGACTGTCACAAATTAGATGACTTGAAACTGAGATCTTGATTTTGGGAGATGAGAATGAAATACTACTTTCTAGAGAGTCTTACAGAGAGTACAGCAGAAAAGGGCTAAGAACCCCCAAACCCCAAAACTAGTGGCTGAAAGCTGAAGCCAGACAAATTTAAATTAGAAATGAGGCAAAGATCTAAAAATCTGTGTGTTTATATCTAAGTTTTGAAACAAAAGTGGTGGAGTTCTGTGTTCTCTGTCTTCATATCAAGGCTGGATTTGTTTGCATCCTAGCTGAAGACATAGAGGCTGTCAGTACAGAAATGCTTCCTGACTCTGTGACCTGTCAAAAATCTTTTAGTTACTCCTGGCATTGCAGCCCACAGGCAAATTTTTTCCTCCTCTCCTCTCACCTCATTGGTACTGTATGACTGCTTTAGTTCTTCTATATTTGTACTGACAGAACTCCTTGCTGTTTCTCTGTTTTGCTGTAGGACTCTGACTCAGACCTTGACTTCATCCCTTTCACTACAACAATTTGGTTTGGCCTGAAGCAATACCTTTGTGAACCTATTCCTGTGGCATCCTCTGTGAGAAGGTTTGGGGCAGCACTTTGTGATATAAATTCTTGAAAAAGTAAGGTGCCTGTATGAAAGATGACTCTGGTAACATTTACAGAAAGTGGATTTTTTTACATGGCGTTTGCTTGACATTTCCTAATTTATTGGCCTATTCATATTTCTTGTAAAAACAAATGACACATTTGTGTTGGGGAAAACAGTGATTCTATGCATCCTACGGACCAAATGCTGTCAATTCCAGGCAACAAGATTTGAGTAATCTAATTTCCTCTGACTAAAGAAGCTGTCAGAACTTCGTAAGGAATGTCCTGGATGTGAAATAGCCAGTGATATGCTTGTTTTATAGTTACAAATGTGTTACAGTAGCACATGTGTCTATGGTAAAAGAGAAGCCCCTGCCTCTTGGAGAGCATGCCCAGGAATTCCAGTGGGATCTCCCAGGAGCCAGAAGTGACTAATTTTCGTTACTTCTGTGTTCCAAACAAACCAAATCTATGAACAACAGCAGATAAATCTTTTGTGAGGAGCTGCAGGGCTGGCTTCTGTGAGAAGCTTTCCCCACATTCAACAAGCCAATGCCAGCTGGCTCCAGGATGGACTCGCTGCTGGCCAAAGTTGAGCTCATCAGCAATGCTGGTAGCACCTCTGGGACAACAGAATTAAGAAGAGGAAAAAAAACTTGCACAACAGCAACTGCAACCAGAGTGAGGAGTGAGAATATGAGAAGTACAGCTCTGTGGACCCAGGCCAGTGAAGAAGAAGAAGGGCAGGAGATTCTCCAGGTGCCAGAGCAGAGGTTCCCCTGGCGCCTGTGGTACAAAGCCATGGTGAGGCAGCTGTGCCCCTGGAGCCCATGGGGATCCATGGTGGAGCAGAGATCCACCTGCAGTCCAGGGAGAACCCCAGGCTGGAGCACGTGGGTGGATGTACCCTGGATGTACCAAAGGAGTTTATGACCCTGTGGGGGCCAGTGCAGGAGCAGATTTGCTGGCAGAACTTGTGACCCCATGGGGGACCCACTTGGGAACAGTCTGTTCCTGAAGGACTGCAGCCTGTGGTGGAAGAGACCCATATTGGAGAAGAACCAGGACAGCTGACCCCACCTCACCAAAGGGATATCCCAGAACATATGATGTCTGCTTAGCAATAAAGGCTAAGGGAAAAGGTATTTATTATTATTTATTATTTATTTATTTATTATTACGGAATTTGTCTTCTAGAACAGCTGCTACAGGGGCTGAAGTCCTACTTCCCCAAAAGTAGCTGGACATTATCTGCTAATGGGAAATGGAGAATAAATATTTTGTCTTCCTTTACTTCTGTGTCTGGCCTCTGCTTTTGCACTATTAAACTGTCTTTATTTTAACCCATGATTATTTTCATCCTATTTTCTCCCCTCCCTGTCAAAGAGGGGAGACAGCAGCTTGGTAGACAACTTGTATTTAGTCAAAGTAAACCCAGAATACATTCGTATTTTTCAGATGTCCTCAGGCAGGTCACATTTATACTGCTGACTGATGTTTGAGTTGTTATTTTGGATTTGTATTGTGTCTGGTTGTGAGCTGAGCAACCTATGACATAGTTGCTGCATAATGCCATTGAAAAATGCCCTAAAAGAGTGTGATTTAAATACGTTTTCATTACTTTGTGCTTAAGCAACCTTGTTGATACTGCTTTCTTGGTTTTCTTTGACTCCCATACAAAGTAAAATGTGACAGATGAATCATAAGGCTCACCTTATCCATGAAGTGTTTGAAAGTTGAAGCATATGCATCTTTTTGTGGATGACAGCAGAGCTGCAACTGCAGAGGGGCACTGGTGTTTGCTGTGCTTGAAATGTCCCTTGGCATGTTGATAATGTGTTTCAGCATTCTTTATACTGCCTCAAATACATAAATATATGTTAATGAAGTTTAATATTTAGGCTTAGAAAAAAAATCCTGTCCATTTCTACGTAGAAAAAAGTTCTGAAATTAAATATGTGATGAGGTTAACAGGAAAGATTTCCTGAAGAGTGTCCAAGGAGCTGGTTTGGTAGCTCAGCATGGATCTTTATTTGCTTGAAGAAGGAAAGTAGGTACTAACTTGAGAATTAAGTGCAAAACTTGGGTAAAGCAGAAGTGATTCTGATGAGAATTCTGTATTGACTGTGGCTGTTGTTCTAGGAAGCAGATAAAAAGTGCTGAACGTCTTTAATGCCAATATATCTCTTCAGATTGTTCATATTCTTATTAACACAACTGATTTCTTATTCTATTTCTGTTTTATACAGAGGCCTGAAGATCTGCATGAACTTGAAGATCAGCACCTCTCTTTCATTTTATGGGATTAGATCTAGGTTATGTGTGGCAATCCTGTAAATACTGGGGAAATGCAAGACTGAATGTTGTGGTACAGCCCTAGTTGGTTTCTCTCAAGCCAATTGATACTTATTATACCAGCTGCACCAGAGTGCAGTAACTCTTTTATAATGGAATCACAGTAAGCTGGTTTCCCATTTCAGTTAATAACTTGTGAAAAGAATGTAAGTGCTTTTTGCTGATTAGGCATACGTGACTGCTTCGGAAAAAATGAGTGTGCAGTACACGGCAATTCAGCTTCCCTTTCTCTCCTGCATATTCAAAAGCACAATAAAATATTAGTTGAAAGAAGAATAAGATAAGAATTGGAATGTTGCTGACTATGGAGAAGGCATTGTGTTGAGATGGCAGACACTGCTGTCACTGTGCTTGTTCTGACCAACCCACCTGGAGCAGATGTCCCTCTGTTGTGTCCCCATCCAAATTTCTTGGCAGTCTCACTTTCTGATCTCTTCCTTCTCCCTCTGGAGACCTTCGATCTTATGCAGGCAAATAAACTGAGAGCCTCAGTCTTCCCTTTGTGCATTTGGTTCTTGCAGGGGATAGATTGTTCATGAAAGGCTGGCGTGTAAGAGGTTCCTGTTGAAGTGACATGAAAGTATTGCAAGATATACCTGGAATGACCTAAACATGCTGCTCTGAGTATTCTCCCAGCAGCTGCTGGAATGCACTGTTTCTCAAACCCTTTAGGTGAAAAGTGAAGAGCTCTTTGGTGCACAGGTACCTCTAGCAGTGCTGTTATGATAAATTAACATTTACTGGATCTGCTAAAGCCAACACTTTGGGGTCACAATTAAATGAGGCTCTCATGTCTTCTAAAAGGTAAAAAAAATTGTACGTTTTAACATATCAAAGTTTCTAGACTCTGCATTTATGGAGCAAAAAACTGGTAGAACCTAGGGTCTCAGAAGTCCAAGAATAAATAAAAACAATGCAGTATTAATTTGGGGTTTTTTTAGAAAGGGCTAGATAATAGACTAAAAATATATTTTTATCTCTGTTTAAGGGTTCATATTTTACCATTTTTGAGGAATGTCAGTCTTCTGTCATGTTTGCATATTCCTAGAATGAAAATTACTTTTTTTTCAAATTACTTTATTTAGGGGCTGACTATGAATGTTGGACTGGACTTGGAAGACCACATTCCTTCTTCCTTTGCTAGCCTTTGACAACAAATCACCCCTTCTATGTGCATCATTTATTCATATGTGAAATTGGAATGGTCACACACTTTTGCTACTAAATTATCTCTGGGAAAGATGGGTCTGCTTAGAATAATTCGCAGCTGATATTTACCCATTTACAATTGTAAAATGTGTTGTACCCATAAAATAC